TCTGCCTTTGGTTCTACCTCTGGGAAGTTTTGTTTCCGTGTCCCTCCGGGGAAGATGTGTCCGTAGCTGGGGAGTCTGCAGCTTCAGCGCTCCAGGTCTTGTCAAGGGGCTGTGAATCTGGGCTGCCTCTTCGGAATGAAGGGTGTGCAGCAACAATGTGCGTGGATGCACAAGTGGGCTTCTTGCCGGGTGTCACTGATCGGTTTCATAGGCAGCCCCCGGTGTTCGTATCTCTCTGTACATCGTATTTGCCGAGCAGGTTCTCCAGAAAATGATCCTCGGGTGGTGGCAGGCGGCTGTGGCCATTCCACGATCTGAACCAGGCTTCCTGTTCGTCTCTGGCCCCGTCCCCACCCCTGCCAGGGCCTCCAGTCTTGGGTCTTCCGCATGGAAGGAGAGGTCAGTCTGCTTCTCTCCCCACCTTGCCCCTCCCCAGCAAGGCTCTGTCACTCATTAACCTCCCTCCATCTGCTTGCTGCCCTACAGACCTCCTAGTTCATTCCATTTCCAGCTTCTGTCCCTGTAGTTTGGGGGGAACTTTTCAGCAGGAAAACGTGTCAGAAATGTGTTTACTTTGCCATTTTTAAGCCTAAGGAGACACGAGGGAAACTCCAAAAGTAACAGGAGCTGAATGAGGTACTGTGGGAGTAGAGAGAAGGGAATGTCAACCTTGACTGGAGTGACGTGGGTAACTTCGGTTGTGGAGTTAGAAATTAAAGGTCAACTGGGTTTTCATAGGTAGAATGGTAATAGGTAAGTGCACTTGAAGTAGAAGGAACTTTGTGACATAGAAGTGCCAAAAAAAAAAAAAAAAAAGGGCAGACCAGTTCAACACGTCAGCTGGGCTGGAGCGTGGAGGTCGTGGGTACCTCACCTAAGAAGCCGGCCCCCTACTCGTGCAGTGGAGAGCTATCAGAGACAGGAGAGATGCTGCAGGTAGTGTTAAATCCACCGGACAAGCTCTGATGTAAAAATTTAGTAAGAAACCAAATTAGGTAGTTTTCAAGAGCTTTAGCTGTTCATCGGCGTTAATTTTAAAAGCCCTACGATCAGCTTAATTACTGAAAATCAGGGTAAAACTGGATAGAGAACAGTGAAGCGTCAGAGGAACCAGATTCCCATATTTTGGAACACAGATGTTCCACTTGGCATTAGACTGCCAGAATCTCTTAGAGCTTACGGTTTTAAAAAAATCATTTCTATATTAAAATTTTATTTTCCATCTTTCCTTACCTAATTATCACATTTGGTTGTTTGAAAATCCTACTGAAAAGTACATTTTAAAACTGATAACACTTTGAGCAAATTTCAAAGGTACTCAAGATCCCCCAAGAGTTTTTCCTGCAGATTGGAACCGGATTGAGCCAGCCTTCTTTTTATCCTGTTTATTGGTTCACTGGTAACACCCTGTGCCTTCTGTCATTGTGAAGAATTTTCTAAGTATAGTCTGCAGTTGCTCTTCAACTCCACGCACGTGGTGTCGAGAAAGCCGAGCTTCAGAGGCTCCGTCATGGCCGGGGAGGCGTGGCCAGACTCGGAAGCTGCCGGCCAGCTGCGCCAAAGCTCCGGGAGTGGGTCTCGTCCCTTCCGGATGCCGTCGTGGGTCTTTGGAGCGTGGAACTGTGCCTCCCGCCGTGAGGTGTGGCCATGTCAACGGTGCAGGCGGGTGAAGTCAGAACGGTGAAACTGTGTCTGCTTCTGGCTGGGTCACTCTAGGACACGAAAGCGTTTCCTCTTTTTGGCTCTTCGTGCTGACGCCCTGCTGAGTATCGTCACATTCGAGGCCAGTTAGTGCGCATCGTCACCTGTGGGGAGAAGATTACCTGTTAGCCCCGTGTTGTAACTCAGAACGCCGAGGCTCGGAGAGGGCCAAGGACCTGAGCCCACAGAAGTTTCTAGTGAGTCTGGCGATTCACCCATTGAAAAGAAGCGGGAGAGGGGCGCCTGGGTGGCTCAGTTGGTTAAGCGACTGCCTTCGGCTCAGGTCATGATCCTGGAGTCCCGGGATCGAGTCCCGCATCGGGCTCCCTGCTCGGCGGGGGGTCTGCTTCTCCCTCTGACCCTCTTCCCTCTTGTGCTGTCTCTCATTCTCTCTCTCAAATAAATAAATAAAATCTTTAAAAAAAGAAAAAAGAAGCGGGAGGTATTTTACTTCCAAGTATTCTCCTCAGTGTTTGGTTGTTTTACCTTCTCTTGCAGCAGTGATGGCTCTTCTCACACTAAATTCTTAGCGTTCTCTTGGCCATTGGACTGCTGCCTCAATGGGGGGGTTTTCTCACCCTCTACCCTGCCGCTGACCGGCTGCATCAGAATTCACGGACGCCGCACGCCATGTCAGCGTCTGGCGTCCATGGCGTGGCCCGTGTGTCCCCCCGGGTGGACCTGCCGCATTGAGAATCAGCGCTGTGCATCCTTCCGTTGGTGGTGTGTCTACACTGGCTGTTAGGCTCGAATACTCACTTCATAGCAGTTAGGGCTGTTTAAGAGCTTTTCGGGTGAAGGTTGGTCAGGGAAATGATCCCCAGAGAAGCACCACTTTTGTGTGTTTCTGAAGGACAGTCAGTATATTTGAGAGTATGTACTGACGGACCCCTGCTGGGCTGTCAGTGGGATTGCTGCTGCTTTGAAAGTGTCTTCGTGTCTTTTTTCTCTAGCTTGATTTTCTCCTGGCCTTTGATTCTTAGCATCTTGTCAGTGATGTGTGCTTAGGTGTGGTTTTGTTTCTGTTTAACCCACCTGGGGTGTATTTGATTCTTTTTGATAGATTCCAATTTTCTGTTGAGATTCACCTATTTGAAGATGATTTGGAAAATGCCCACAAAAAATTCCAAAATGACTATCGCGTTCGAATCACGTGCTGCTCTTCTCTGGGGAATTGTAGCTTCTCGAATCTTGCTTGAGTGGTACACGCCGGGCTCTCGAACAGTGATCTGTATGTTTTGTACGGCTTCTGTAGTTACTTCATCTTGGGCAGACTTGCAGCCTTCTGGGATGGGTTTTCAACAGCTGTGGTCACTTAGGGTGTCATGGATGATCTTGCTAAATTATTTTAAATCTCTTTTTTGGGGGAAAACAATAAGTAATTTGTGGTTACAGGATACCCCCCACTCCCTTGCTACTCCAGCCGGTTTAGAAAAACAAGCTGAGTTCATATTTAATGTGTTTTAAAATCTGTTTCTCTGTGACTTCTCCCCCATATTCTTTTATAATATCTTCTGGGACCACAGTCAAGGGTTCCCAGAGCATCATCCAGGTAGAAATAGCAGACCTTACAAATTGGCCCATCATCCCTGGGTGCCATTTAGTTACAAGAGCAGCATGAGTGTTTTCGTGGTTCTTGATACATGCTGTGGTTCAAAAAATATTTGACCAGTTTATGGATGCCACCAAGTTGCTGTTTCTCTCTCATGTCACCTGAATGGCCCTACGCCTCTTCCCAGTCCTGTGCCATTCATTCAGCGGACAGGTGGAGTCCCCGATGATCTTGTACATCATCAGGACACAGTGCTGGACCGGGCTGGGACAAGTATAGAAAATAATTAACAAGATTTCCTCACCCACCCGTCATCCCTGAACTGAGCACCTACATAACTCCTGCCAAACGAAGGCAAAATGTGTTGTAATAAAGGCATAAACAGGTGCTGAATGATTAATCCTAGTCTGATAGGAAGGTCTGGGTTCCTGTAATTCTCTCATTTCTTTTCATTATTAAGTTAGCAGGGGTTTGGAATACAGTGGGAGAGAGAACCTTCTTTCTTAGTTAAAAAGAAAATATCACGTTGAAATTTTTTCAAAGAAACACACTATCACTGTCCCAGCTCCTTAATACCATTTAATTTTTTGCTCACTTCTCTTTGACCTTTTTCATTTAAACACATATTTTATATAATTGTAATGTATAATTGTATAGCCGATGTTTTTCACTGCCATAAGCCTTCTTTCTTTTACTTCAACATGGTCTTCCTAATTTTAGTATTTGATACTTCTTTCCCACTGGTAATCTAGTACTTAATGCATTTTCTTTTGTTGGGGGCAGATATTTTTCCAATTTCAATATTAGAAATAATGCCACATTGAACATCTTTGATTCCTACTCCTAAAATTTAGGATGACTACATAATTCAACAGAGAAAAAGCTAGCGCACAAACTGAATGAATGTTTTCGTGATTCTTGGTACGCGCTGTGGCTCCAATATTTTTCTAATGATTTGCATTAGCTGCTGTAACCAAACAATATTGGCCTATTGAGCAGCTCTAAGTGATACTTTAGAATTGCTTTAATCTTCATTTCTTCAGTTCTTAATAAAGGGAACCATTTTACCTGTGTTTATTTGTTCTGGGCATTTAGAGGGTCATCTTCAGCACTGAGCTTTTGGCTTTTCACACACCACCCCCTCCGGTGCCATAGCAACCTGGTGTGGTGCCCCAGACGGGCTGTGTCGCCGGGGCTCACGGAGACGCCATATGTGAGCGCACCCTGAACAGGCTCCGGCACACGCTGAACACTTGTCTCTAGACGATACCAAAGTGCAAGGCTATTACATCTCTCATACCTCTTCTCAGCCTCCAGGAAGTGAGAAAGGATGCTTGTTTGTTTTGTCACTGAACATATGAGAAACAGATTTTCATTTCAGGTCATTTGGTATAACTTCAGCGTTTTGAAATGAACTAACAACCACATACAGGAGAAATTAAACTGAAGTTTAATTCTTTCATACGGTTTTAACTGTATAAAGTCTCTGTGTACAAAGTCTTTAGATACAATGAAAAATTTTTTGAAGTGAATTGCATTGTTTCAGTTTCAAAAAATCTCCAGTCTTTATAATACAAAAGTATTTTTGCCGATGTTAATAAATTCAGCTCTCTTTAGCCTCTCAAACTTATGAAACTTAACATTGAAAATAACTGGTAAGATCTGGTTGGATATTTTGGTTGAAGGTATTTTTCCCCCTGATGTATGGACTTTAAAGGATGTTTTTGTTTCTCCTGTTTGTCTTTAGGTGAAAAAGGCTTTCTTTGCCTTAGTAGCCAATGGTGTTCGAGCCGCGCCTCTGTGGGAGAGTAAGAAACAAAGCTTTGTAGGTAAGCAGTGTGGGCCTGGGAAGAAATCTGAAATGGGAACCTAAAAGCAGAAAGCCCAAGGTATCCTAATAGGTGCTGGTTTGGAACTCAGCCTCGAAAACATACTGCCCGGCTAAAGGACTTCTGGCTTTTACGTCTGGGTCAGGTGGGGCCGCTAGCAAATTCAAAACACTGAGGTGCTGCCACGGAGTTTCTTTTTCATATTTATTTAGTTATCCAGTTTCTTTTGATTCGGTACCTTTCTGGCTCCCTGAAGGAGCTTCTCTGCCTTTGCCAGTTGCTGTGAGGCCAGGGAACAGGGTGCGCAGGGGACGCTGTGCTGACCCCTGACCGTGGGCCGCCTTTGCTCGCGTGTATGCGGGCAGCCCCTGCTCTGTGGACCAGGCAAATGAAGCCATGTAGACGTGACCGATGCCTGCGCTAAGTCATTGCTGTCCCATCGGAAACATCCTGTAACTCAGTATCTGAACTCCAGAATCTCTCACTGTACAGATCACAGTAGGCGGCGGATGTTGGCTCTCCTAGTATGCATTACGCTGATTTAAAACTACCAGTTTGTCTGCCTCCTGCTTTAGGTGACCGTTTCCTCAAAGTAGTTTCATATCTTCTTCATCTCTGTAGCCCTGGAATCTGGCCCATAGTAGGCACTTAATAACTAGGGGCTAAATCAATACTTAAAGAACTACCGTTTGTAGAATGCTTCTCAGGAAACAATCCAAATGCCCCCGGAAGTGTCCTGTGTGTAAAGCTTTTGGAATACCTTACCTTATTGTCAAGTATATTAAATTATTTACATGTAGCTGCAAGTCTTCTGTGAGGTTTTATGTTAATCAGTAAGTTTTCTATCACTGAATTGCCAAATACTGTGGTTGATTCCATTGTACTTATTGTCAGGTTTAATTTCAGCTAAATTTATCTTAGTTTGTTGTAGATAATTCACAGACTAATAGTCCTAAATAATATAATACATTAAAACTGTGCTTGATACCTTTAAAGTATGTTTTAGAAGCTCTTCTAGAAAATATTCCAGGTTTGCTTATCCTGTGAAATTTTTCATAGGTTTATATTTAACATATAATTCTTTGTTCCAGGAATGCTAACAATTACAGATTTCATAAATATACTACATAGATACTATAAGTCACCCATGGTAAGTGCCAGAAATCCTTACGTCGGTCATGCATATGTGTAGAGGGGTGGTGGTGCGGATAGTTGATTTTTACAAGTATGTATATAACGGGCAGGGCACATCGGTGTATATACAGTCACTGAATTTATGATCTTTATGACATTATGGGCGTGTTGCGGTGTTGTGACCGCGTGGACCCATGAATGGTCCGGTGCCACAGAGCTTATCTTCCCAGGCCTGTGTCCATGGGAGTGCAGCCTCATGCACTTGCCCCCTACTTGTTTTCACGAGAACCATATGTACTCTGTGGTTTTAAAGAAGTAAACCTTAAGGGCGCCTGGGTGGCTCAGTCGGTTGAGCGACTGCCTTCGGCTCGGGTCATGATCCCGGGGTCCCGGGATCGAGTCCCGCATCGGGCTCCCTGCTCGGCGGGGAGTCTGCTTCTCCCTCTGACCCTCCCCCCTCTCATGTGCTTTCTCTCTCTCTCA